TATAGGTGTTTTGATGTTTCCAGGTGTGGGATGTGTGCCAGTGTGAGTGGTGTTGTGTTTTCGGGGCGGAAGCTTAACTCACATAAATTTATTTGAATATATATTGGGAAATGCGTTAATTCCAATAATTTGTAAAGAGAGCTGGTGTATTAATTACTTATGTGACTAACTGTATATATCATATATAAATGATAAATATATACTATATATATCATATCAAAATGATAAATATAGACACAATTATATGTCACTCATTAAGTAATAGCATCAAGGCTTAATAAACCAAACTAATTGTCGCAATGAGTACCAAGAGAATATTATACAACCTATCAAAATATTACGTAACATTGATTGACAGCAATTCCATTTCAATTGAAAAATGTATGCGCTTATGAATGAAGCTAACAGTAAATAAGGATGTTGTACGCCGGTGTCATCTCTAGAATAGTTACTTTTAACGAGTTCATAATATTACCGCCGAACAATAGCCAATTGTGAGTACACGAGCAATTAAAACCTATTTATAGACACATTTATACATGTATATATTCACGAACATACAAGCATTCACATACTTATGTAATATACTTTTAAGTGACAAGCGGGTTCAATTTGAAGAGTAAACGTGATAAACGTCTTATTTTCACAGTATACTAAATGGTTATAACTATTATTTACCCAATAATAGATTCAAAGGAATATATTGATGGAAAAATGCAATTGACATCTAAGCTACTTATATACTATAGATTTTAAGTTAGCAAATTAGAAACATATTTCATTAAAATATTTAGGCAGAAAATAGTACCCCAGAATAATAAACAATTCTAAGTAATATCAATTTAGCAACACTTGTTTGAATTCTGCAAGGTCAATACTGGTACAATGCTTGTGGTACTATAGTTTACATGTCAAAACAGTGGTGTAATGGATCACAGCTTTATTTTGTAACATATGTACGAGGTGTGTTCAAAGGAAAAGGAGAATTTTGATTTTCTTTGAAAAGTACTTATTTATTCATCAATATCTATTTTCTTCAAAGTAATCCTCCTCGGATATAATACACTTATGCTAACGCTTTTCCAATCCTCGAAGCACTTCTGAAATGCGCTTTTCGGAACAAACTTCGCTATCACTCGTTTCATGCCAAAACAATTTTTCCGTTTCGATGTTTTCTTGCTTGTTGACGTGGTCGCAGCTCCAGGGTGCTCATAGTCATCAACATCTTCTCGGCCTTTGTAAAGCTCTTGTACCACTTATAAACACTTTTTGAGACAAAGTGGATTCACCAAATACAGTCACAAGTGCCCTGGACACTTTATTCCATAACCAAAATTTAAAACATATTCTTGATCCATTTTTTCAAAAGTCAAAATCGAAGAGCACACAAAACGTGACTAACATTTTCTGTTGTCAAAACAAACTACTAATCGAAATTGGCTCCTAATGCACACGATAAACATACATATGTGTCCGATTACAACAAAACAAAATATCGATAATCGAATGTAAACAGCCCGCAAAATTAAAATTCACCTTTTCCTTGAACACACCTCGTATGTATAGTATTTGGATATCAAAATGCACGCGTTGACGACACCATTAATTAATATTTTCAACTTTCTTCCGTCGAGCGATTATGTATCATTATAAAGCGTATAAGTAAGGAAACATCGCTTTTAATTTATGGTAGTTTTAAATGGTTTTCGCCAAATGCCGCAAACATTGTTAAAACGTTAGACTAGTTATTATTTGATCTGCTAAATATTCAATTTATTTTAATAAAATTAATATTTAATTACCAAAATTATATGTAATTTTCAAATTTAAAAAATTAGATAAGCGTATAGTTAAGTATACATATACATATATATGCCTTTAAAAATAACGTTTTCGTTTTCCAAAGTAGTTTTAGGTAGCATTTATTGGGAAAATTTTGTAATTATAGAAAATATAAGGTTGTCAAATATCTCCCTTCCGCTTTTTGCTCTTCATTCAATGCTTTGTAAAAGTGTTTAGTTAAACATCTAGAGGCAACTTCATAATAACTTCTCGTAGAAGCCCTCCTTATTTGCGAAGAATTCGACAGCCACTTTTCACAAGCCTCGTTTGAGTTCAACTTCACACCACCAGGGCATTCGCCATGGACAGGAACAGTGGTAATTACTTGGCGCTACGTCCGGCTATATGGTGGATGCGATAAACCTCCCATCCGAGCTCCCGTAGCTTTTGACGAGTCATCAACGAAGTGTGGTCTGGCGTTGTCCTGGTGGAACACCCTTCCTGTTTAATTCTGGACGCTTCTGGTCGATCTGCTTTTAAGCGGTCCAGTTGTTCGCAGTAGATGTAATTAAGCGTCTGGCCATATAGCAGCTCATAGTAGATGATTCCTTCAATCCACAAACACACAGCAAAACCTTCCTGGCCGTCAATCCGGCTTACCGTTTGGGACGACCGTTTTCGCTTGATATTGTCGTATGTGATCCATTTTCGTCGCCAGTCACATCCGCTTCAAGAATGGGACGAGTTCGTTCCGTTTCAGCAGCATATCGCAGGCGTTGATTCGGTCCAGAAGGTTTTTGCGTCAAATTATGCGGCACCCAAACATCAAACTTTTTGTATCCAGCTTCTGCAGATGGTTCAAAATGGTGGTGACTAACTCCATCTCCTGGGCGATGTCACGAGATGCCATATGCCGGTCTAACTCGATGTATTCCATGATTTGATCGGTATTTGTCGTCACAGCAGGTCTTCCGCTGGTTTATCTATGGTGTCGTTCACCGGCTCTGAATCGTCGAAACCATTCCTCCGCGGTTCGAAGTGATAGAGTACCATCTCCCAAACACCATTAATTTCACGGAACGTTTCTCTAGCGGATTTGCCTTTAACGAAGGAAAACTTTAAAATAGCGCGAATTTCGGCGTTAGTGAACTCCATGTTTACACGTCTATAACTGTTGAACGCAAACTAAACTAATCATGCATAGCGTTGTTTTGTAGGTTATGTCAAGACCTTTCAAATTATGTATAGTGTTGCCAGATACGAGCTCTGTAGCGCTTTGTACATAGCCGCGAAATTCAAAAGACAAAAAAGCGGAAGGGAGATATTTGACAACCTTATATATTGTTTTGTTATAGCTGACGTTTATTCTTTTTTTAGCCAACCACGTCTCAAGGGGTTGATCAACACAAAAGTTAATTCCTCTATAAATATTACATTGCTCCAATCACGGCTGATGTTTTCCTACCCCCAATGCAACTTTCTTTCAATGGATGTTTTTAAAAGTAGGGGCTTGATTACAGTACTGCTGCGATGATTAAGTTGGTCCCGTATTGTATTTAGAGATATACGTATCTAATGGTCAGACCACCTCTTCACAAATGTATAACTCGTATTTAAATACTTTGCAGTTTATAGTCCATTTGGGACCTTTAGAATCCTTCGCAAGAAAAGCTGTTTCAAAACGTTCCTTATACCGAGCACTCATTTTTCTTATTCCACGGCACGACATGACACATTAGGAAGCATTGTACGCCTCAGTGATCGCAATTGAATAAGAGTTTTCCGCGAATTGATCGCGCTGAGGAAAATCGTTATTTTTTGAACACACTGTATATATACTTGTAAATAGTAAATCGAAAGTAGTAAAAACGTTATATTTCTATTTTTTGTTCTGGCATAATACTAATTTGTTTCTGACCGTAACTAGGCAACGGTCATCTTGTAGAGCACATGTTGAGACTACCATTTGTTTGTATGAATAAAAATAGGCACAATTAGCTGATTATATCTCTACTGAGAATATCAGTATTTTATGTGATCTTCAATACGAATATTAGATATATGGCACTTATAAGTTCTATGGTATAAATTCAAATGAACTCATTACCAACATTTCAATATTTAATAAAAATTACTAAATTTTGATAGAAATGCATATTAATTAGTATGCAGCACTGTATAAGAACATTCTATTACAAGCGCATTATTTTGCATTTATTGTATTATATTTACAGACTTCGAATAATTTGATTAGCTTTGCAAACCTTGTAAGCTTCCTTCCATTTCAACAAATGCATTGCATGTTCTTTCAGTTTTGTTTTCAATTTTTATTTGACATAATATGTTAATTGTTACACTGTAAGGACATCGAATTAAACGTCGTAACAGCTAACGCACCTATGTCCAGCGTGGTGGTAATGCGTGGCTAGAACCATAACATCATGGCATTCACCGATGCTGTTGTCGATATTATTGAAATAAACCTGTAAAGTCTATTCCAATTTCCGATTCTTTGGATTGAGTAAAGAATCTTGACAAATGGCTCTCATAAGGAGTGAGCGCACGATTAAGTATGTACATACAAGTATGTAGAGAATTCATGACATCGTAAACAGGCATAGCTCGAAAACATAAACATGCATATATGTATGTCTTTGAGGAATAAAAAAACTTTACTAGAGATTCAAAAAGTAATAGTTACACTTCAACCATTTAACGCAATGCATACAATTTACATTATTTTTCGATTAAACTGTGTTTGGAAGACCGCCTCAAGTTCACATACCTTTTACTTGAGATCTTTATAAAAATGTATAATTTATTTAATTTATTAAATATGGTTTATTAATTGTCGGCAGTCTGGGCACAAATTTTTACAATAACCTTAGTCGCTTCCATAAACTCGTATGTAGACATGAATACAAAATTCCAAAATAACTAGAACTTCAAAAAGAAAGAAAGTTTATTTTAAAAAACCAGTAAGTCTGTTCTCCCCTTAAGAGTTACCAAACTTTTTTCCAATGCGATTATGTGCTTTGACTCATTTCTTTGAATTTAAAGTTAAGAGTGCTATTATTGATCACTGTCCATACCAAAAAAACAAATATCGGTTTGAGTATTACCGTTGTTATTTGTTTCTCCGTTCTCTAAACTCTGATGACCACCACCCATTTCGCTTTTTGCGCAACACTCAGCCATTCACCTAGCTGCCACTCAGACGCGCTAAAACATCCACTTAAGTATATTATGTAGATATTATGTATGTATGTATGTATACTATTTTACATTGGTATGCACACACTTAGAAACATATGTACATATACTGCTTGCTGACATGCTTGGTGCTTCGGCATCTTTACGGGCTGGCTGAGTGTGCCTGCGTCTTGACTTGGTGTTTTCAACTTGTGGTACTCATCGGCCAGGTATCGTGTGCGCATTCGCAGTGGAGCAATGCACAACAACGCATCACTACGTCGGAATCAGTGTCGATAGAGTTTCGTGCGTTAGAAAAATAATACACTTTAATGGTTTTTGTTTTTGTACTTGGTGTCTGTGAATACATATCTGCATTTGAATAGTTTTAAGCTGAAGCATATAAAATTGTTTGTAATAAAAAAATGAGATAATACGTGGTAACAAAACTGAAAAGTTAAAAAAGTGATTAAATGAAAAGTTGTCAGTGTTTTAAGAAAAATATTTACATTTACAGTGTGTGTCAACTGTAAGCACCAAAAGTTTACGTTCATGTAAGGTTCGCCGAGTCATAGCTGATAATGACCTTTGTATGTTAAAAACCACTTGACTAAGTCAACGCGCTTACATGCCTATAAGTGCAAATCCACACTTTAATTAGCTACGTGCATACATATACATATCCATACATAGGTGGTAATAATATACATGATACAGGGTTTCACCAAAATTGTTACGTTTTCAATTGAAATTACTTAACAAAAAATTTGAATTTTTTTTTAAATAATTTAGAGTTAATTAAGTTAAAATTGATACTCCGAATATCATAAATAGTTGGATCAATGCAAAAGTGAATCAATAATTATAATGATATTTATATTTTTTTAATAAGTTCGGTTTTTTGTTAACAGTTCTACCATTCTGGTGGCCTAGAGTTTTGTTTATGTGACGCCTCCGTATATCAATATAAAAATTCGAGCTACTTTTTTGTTCTTTGAAAAAATATTAATCATGTGTATTTTTAGGCGAACAAAGTTACGCACAAATGCACATTATGTGTATGTATATGTAACTGCAAATGAGCATAGTTATGTATATTTGTATTTTGCTAATTTTTCGTAGTGAAAGTATCTCTAAATATGTTTACCAACACATACGAGTATTAAATGCAGAAATTTAACATATTTCAACTATATGATTAAATAGTTTTAATTATATTTGTTACACAACTTATAAATAGTTTTTTATGAGAATTAATTGAAAATAATGCATATCGATTGTAAAAATTAAAAATTAAATTTTAATTTGTCTTTGGTATATTTCATTTTCCAATTTTCTATTTGTTTTAATCAGCAATCATTAAATGTTTCATTTTCTGACAGTTTTAATTGATAATCTCTAGAATAGATTTTTCAGTATCTATCAATATCTTAACTTACATAAGCTAGTTCGAGACGCCAGCAATAGATTATTCCACAGCTACATTTGAGTATTTTCTAGGTTGACTAATTGAAAAATTTTGAATGGTTATTTTTAGAAATTATTATAGTGTTTTATTGTTATTTATTACATGTAGAAATTGTTTCTTCATTTCTTTTTACTTTATAAAGATTTTGATCTTCGATTGTGTAGCGTATTTTTTAAGCAAAAGTAAATTATTTTGACTAATAAATTTGATGTTTATCGGAACAGTTATACTTGAAGTTTGTGTTCTAAAATAAGAGTTCACATATGGCAATAGGAAGTTTACTTATTATAACTTTAAAGTCATATATTTTAATAATTATCTGTTTAAATAAATGTATATTTTGATCACTACTGCCTTTAACAAATGCATTTCAAGAACACACATATATGAAAAATGTTTAGTTTTTATAATATTTAGGATCATTATCAAACGTTGAAGAAAATTCCTAAAATTTTCATCAAAATTTTATGGAATATTTTTTTAAAACATTGCTATAATTTTTAGGTTTTATAAACTCGCGTTTAAGGTGGTTCAAAATGTTATCGAATTAAAAAGATCGGACCCTGGTTGGTCAACAACATCAACAATTTTAATAACACTTTCAAATCATAAGCAGGCAAGAGTTAGAGAGGTACATACTTGTATGTATGAAGAAATACAGGCACTTATAAAATGCAAATAAATTACAGGCTTGAACTTAACTCCAATCCACTATGTATGTAAATATGTATAAGTATGTATATATAGTATACACCCAAATATAAGCATATACATACATACATAAATGTAAAAAGCACATGGACACGCGCTCTGTAGACACATGAATAAAATAATTTCTTACATATAAATAGTACTATAAAAAATCCGCCGTAAACAACGGCAAACAACATAAATCGATACAGAGCACAAACAAAAACTAGAGAAATGCACAACAGGTTGAGTGCAAATACATAGCTGCAAGGCTAGTATTTCAGTTAATAAACACAAATTAACACAGCATAGAGTGCAACAATCTTCTCTTGTCGATACTACCAACGATGGTAACTTGCAGTATGGTGGACACTGTGCCCATTTCGAAAATTAATACCGTGCATACTCGAAAGCCGCTAAGCAGCAATTCTTCCGGTTTCCGGCTTTTGGACGCCGATCACTTGGAAACAGCCTCGAGTGTCAGCAAAAATTCTGTTTACAAATTAAAAATTGATCTGATGTTCGATGACACCAGGTATGTGTATGTTTAATGGTTGTAAATATCATCTGGTATATACCTACATACCTGAACATAGTATGCACAATAATATTCATATACTTAAATAGTTCCTAAATTTAAAACATCTACTGTTATTACCAAAGTAGTAGCAGTAAATCCTCGAAAAACTTAAGTTATATTTAAGATGTAAGTTGAATGAACTAAAAAATAGTTTTACATAAAATAAGATTATTCAACTAGTCACCATCTGAAAGTACAGACTTTTAAGAACATAAAGCCAACTGACTTTTTAAACAAATTTGATATTTTGAGACTTTTTGGTCGAAAATTAGGGGTTCTTTTGATAATAGGTTAATATAAGGAGAAAAAATAAATAAAAAAGATAAGTTATTGCGTTTAAGTGTCAGTATGTTTTTGTCATCGGTGCGAAAATGAGCTTCGAACAAAGAGCCAACATTAAATTTTGTTTTAAAATTGGTAAAACTTTTACCGAAACGTTTCAATTGATAAAACAAGTTTATGGCGATGATTGCCTATCCCGTAGCAGAGTGCACGAGTGGTTTCAACGTTTTCAAATGAGAAATGAGCCGAAACCCAAAAAATCGAGCCTGGAGAAGTCAAAAAACTGTATTAAAGCAGAAGGAGACTATTTTGAATAAAATTAATTGATTTTGCCGATAAAACCATTTGTTCTGTCTTTTTTTTTAAAGTCCTGTTTACTTTGGAACGCACCTTGTAGATAGAAAGATACATTTCCACCAAATTTCGTGAAAAAAAAATTTTGTACAATATAAAAATAAAAGACCCAAAAAGTTTTTGGGTTTTCACATAAATTTTGTGGTTATGTGAAAAAAGTATTTTTCAGCATTCATTTTTTTAGCTCAAATTTAAAAATTCAAAAATTGTTTAAAATAAATAAGGAAGGGCTAACAATTTTTTACTCTTGTAAGGATCAAAGTCGGTGAAATGCCTTCAGGTGTTGTTAAACTTTATATTAAATAAATAAGGAAGAGATGAGTTCGGGTGTAACTAAACATTTAATACTCTTCCAACTTGCAAGCATCAAATACGGAGAAATTCTTTCAATTAATTAATTTTATAAATATACAACTCGTGCACTGACCGATATATTGAGCATTGTATTTGTTTATAGATTTATCGAGCTTTTAGTAGTTTTGAATATCTAGGGGCTAAGGCTAAGTTTTTGCCCGATCTTTTCCATTTTAGGCTCAAAGAGGTATCGTTAGGAGAAAAGCACGTTCACTCAATTTATTGTAGATAATATATCTCACATATTGGCCGATATATGGGGTATAAAGTCAGTCGGGAGTTCGGAAATCTTTCTATTAGGTATATGGGGCGCTTAAAGAAATATTGACCCAATTCAACCCATTTTTGACATACACACATACTTTAATCAGGAAAGGGTTATCTCCTAAATTCGATTATATATCTCACACATTGATCATATATTTGGTATGCGATTTTTACAGTTTTTAGACTCGAAATGGCATGCCTCAAAGGCATTAGGTGCAAAGTTTTATAGTTTATTTTATGGATATTCATTGGTGCTTCATTTGTGTATTGGAAAGTGAAAGAATCATAAGGAATTTAAGTTTGCTATATGGAAAGTAAGCGTGGTTTTTTTGGTTGTTAAATTTTTTCTCTTTGTAGTGGCTAAATCAGCTATGATAATGTGATAAACTTCCCTACTGGCAAACAGTTGGCGCTAAATCAGAGTCGCACAGGAAGATTACGAGTAGATTAGCTAGATTATTTTAATTTTTGTATGGCGGAATCTTGCTAAATCCAGTAGATTAATGAGATAATCTACTCAACAGCCAAAAACATGTGATTAGGTGTCGGTCGGAACATGGTATTAGTTCTTCCTTTCTTGTTTATGTGACAAGGAGGTATGTTGTCGTTTTTACTTTGGGTCACTCTGATCTCTATCAAATATATAAAAATATTCCGCTACCGTTATTGACAGAGGTAAAGAGATGCTCAACTCTACTGTCACTTGAAATTGGGAGCGTAAATCACATACCAAGGCAAGTCTTTGTTTGAGTAAAAACTTTTACACAGAGTTATTTACTTAATGTGTTGTGTTAAATTTTATCATTTTTTTTTATTTTTACAATCAAAGAAGTAATATGGTAGATACAAGACGAATACAGTCAAAATTCAAATTAATAATCTGCAATACTAGTTACGAGCTAAGTATGTTCCAAACAAACGTGAAGTAAAAATGTCAAATTTCGCGGGTTTGGAATACCTATATGGCATACATACATATGTACTTATGTATGAGTATGATATGTTGGTTGCATTTGGCTGTATGGGTTTTCTATTGAATGTTCATACACACACACACATAAATACGTATGTACTTCAGTCAATGTAACTTTAATAGATTTCTCTATACAGTTATGAATTGAAAAGCCCATCTAACTAAATGTGAGCGGCGTTGTTATGAATGTATACATACATAAGTATGTATGCATGTCTGTTTGACGTGAACAGACATATGTATCTATGTACATACATATGTGTAGGCGTTATGACTTCGTAAAGACAGAAAAACACAAACAATAACAGTTTTTACAACTGTTACAATTATTTAATTTCTGAACGAAAAAGAGAGGAATTGCACCACAATATTCCAATGAATACTAATACCTACCTGTTGGCTCCCGGCGATTTATACTGTGTTCACATGGGAACTCTTTTGTCGCTCATTATCGGCAAATTCCCTTTTATTGTCACTCTGTGCGTTCACACGAGTGAAAAAAGTGCAGCAACTAGAGTCGAGTTTTCTATCATTTACTTTCATAAAATGTTCACAAATGCTAGTGTGGTTCGGCTACGCGACGCTTAGAGCGTGTTGCATAGTTCATTTGTATGTTGGTCTCACATTTTGCTTAGAAGGAATTATTGTGGTAGAACAATATGCATAATACCCGCTTAATAGATTCAAAGAAATAATTAAGTTGGGAGTTCCCTAATCCACAAAATGTATTTAATACCCGCCACAAATATTTTTAACGCCAAATTAGTGACAGGAATTTCCTAATCTTTCGGGAAGTATTAAAAACCTATAATTTTTTATTTCATAGTACTTTCTATTTATTATACTATAAAGCATTCATAAATTAATTAAAATTCTTGTTTTAAATAAAATCATATTCGATCTAAATACTTTGCTAAAAGAAATAAATCCGAAAGCATCTTAATATCTTATGCAAATATAAAAAAGTAAATTTTTTTTTCACCAAATGTTATTAAAATTTAAAATAAATATTTTTGAGTATCTTAATCTTATCCTTATTCACAGTTTTTGAAAATATTTCTATTATTCTATGCATACATATTTTCATATTACATATCAAAAATAGATAGTCCGTTCGTCTTTGCCGAACGTGCCAAATACTAAACTAAAGTATACATATGGTAGTTTCGACAGGAAACAGCCTTTTTGTAATTAAATAGTGTACATAAATATAATGTAATATTGTAATTAATATATATATAATATATATTTCTTGTATTGTCTTGTACAATAACTCATGTCAAAATTGGTAACATACATAAATTATTAATTTTGTAACAATTGAAATTGAAAATGATTAAAAAAGTAAAATATATATTTTTTTGCATAATCTTTCGCATTTTATCATGCCATATATATCATACAAATCGTTTATATGACAAAAAATAATCTCACATATGTGAAGTGGTATTTGTATTTTTTGTTCAAAGTAATTAATTTTTCTCTTAATTTTGGTAAATACATACGTATTCTGCCAGAGAACGTTGATCTTAATTCTTATTTCTGTTAAATAACAACGAATACTACAGAAAATGGTGAATTTCAAAACTCTAAAAGTGGCCCGGTGGAAAAATATTCAATTTTGGAAAATTCGTATTTTGAAGGCTTCGAAGCTTCATACTATCGAACCGGTACCGAAATGTTGGAATAACGTGACAACCTTATGTATTACTGTAGATGGAGATTATATCGAAGAATAAAGCCATATTTCGACTTTAATTCTTTGCATTTGTTCTCGTATTTAAGGGATTTAATAGAAAAAATGTGCCTATGACATAAGTATGTATGTATGTATCTGTGTATTTCTCCAAGCACGTCCCGAGCTTCCAACCTAAAGTAGTTTAGTTTAAATGCCATATTTGAACATTAATTCCTGAGTGTATATTTGAATGAATTTGTAATATTTAATAATGTTTTTTCGAAAAGTATATACACAAATATGAACATACTTATTTACTTGTATGAATTTAATTTACTTCAATCGTTTCAATACGAAAAAACTTTCAATATTTTATTGTCTGGCATTTGCTTTATTCGTAAAACCGTTCCAAAGAAAATAAACAATAGGCTGAAATATGTAACCGTTATTCGTAAAAGCTCACTCAAACATATGTGCATACGAATCTCTACAAATCTAGTATTTGGTGAATTCATATGATGTATTGTGTGGAAACCGCTGAATTTAACCCAAATTATTAATCCAAGCTTCACACATTCGCCCAATCAGTTGACTCTCACACGCAGTATCCGCAGCTAAGGTCATTAGTATGCAAAACAGATTCGTTCGATTAATGAAAATACAGAATACATTCTTACACATGTCTGTACATACTTACAACAACCATATTTGTACATTTTGGTGTCAACAAACGGTAAAATAATCGTAGAACGGTGTGTCTTATGCTAAAACAGTCACCGACGCAAAACCATTCACCAAATCAGCTGTTTCGACCTCTCTTATAAGAGCGCAATGTAAACGAACACTCACCTCCGCTCTCGAATACATTTATTTATAAATAGGTAAACTATTTTATAACGCTTTTATTAGCTTCACCTGTGTGTTTGTATGTATGTATGTTTGTAATTTGAGTATAAATTGAGAGATCTTTATGAAACTTGATACCTATGTTCCTTGACACCCAAGAGAGGTCGATATTGCAGATGGGCGTAATCGGATGACTGCCACGTTCACAAAACGCCATTAAAATAAAACCTATAAAGTGCTATAACTAAGCACTAAATTAAGATACCGAACTGTAATTTGGTAGAGGGGTTCATGGTAATAAAAGACACCTATTTGCTGAAATTTTTTAAAGTGGTCGTAGCCTCGCCCCCTAAATGGTTCAATGCACATATCTTCCAAATCGCTGAAACTAATTCAACTAAATTTGCTGTAATGAAGTATTTTTAGCACTTTTTCATATGGTGTGAAAATGGGTAAAATCAGATAATAACCACACCCACTCCCATATAACGGTTATGTTAAAAACATTTCTCGCTTTTATAACAGCGGTGAATCTGTACACACACAGCTCTCTTAACTGCCCAACCGGCGAATATTGAAGAGAATATGATAAGTATGCAAAACAGGGATATTCCATTTGAAATATAGGGGTATTCCATTTGAAATATATTCCCTTTTATTGAACTATTATTTTTTATTTTTTGTTAATTAATTTTTACTTTATTATGAGTTATTGTATTAGTAATAATTTAAAAGTATAAATAATAATAAAAAATACATATTTCTTAAAATAATTCATGTACTTAACACCATTATGAAGTCACAAAAGTACAAAATTACGTTTCCGACACGACGCAAACTGTAATAATGAAAGTAAGTGAGACCCTGACGCGATAGTAATTCGGTTAAATTCGAACATAGACCTTCCTTACTTGTTTACCATACATTTGTACTTAAACGAAATACCGTAAATCTTATTATTTATCCACAGTTTTTGATTAAATGACTATTAATTCTGTAGACTTCCATTCAAATACATTATTTTTGTTTCAATAATCTTTGTCATGTTTTCAATATTAATTTTCTTTTATACCACTTTCTGCAGATCTCTACGCAGCAACCAACTTGATGACACGAGAGGATCACATCGAACTCGTTCCATAATAATGTATGGTCGTAGTGAATTGGCAAGCACAGGGCAGAGTGCTCGAACCATTACAAGTTTGCTGCAGGAGTCTACCGAAACGACTAAAAAGCTTGCAACTTCCACTAAAAAAGATGTGCAACGTATGAGTAATAGTGTTCAGGAACAAATCGAGCAACTTTTCACTGATGTGGCTAAAGATGCCACCAGCAGCTTTACAGTTATATACTTGGGCTCCTTGCCGCTAAAAGATAAAGTAACTAGCCTTCAAGGGCTTCAACCACCTCTTCGTGAGCTTTATTTAAAGGAGTTGAATGCTAAGGTATTTATTACATAGTTTGAAAATGACTGCTCGAGAATTTATTTTATTCAAATCATTTAGCAAAAATGCTCTGGTTTTCTGGAAATCTGTACAACTGGGTTGCGAGTTAAAATTAATGCAAATTATATCACCAACACTCAAGGTGAGGAGAATATTACTCCATTTCACAATATAGCTGTTTGGTCCGCAGTAAAATTCGTTGTCTCAGACAGTGATGGTGGTGCTGCTTTTCTACCGTTGATTACAGACCCCGACAATATTGACAAAACGTCCTTATTTCGTCCATTAGAGTAAGAGAATAAAAAAATTAATTCAGCGTCATTCGGCTTCATTAAAAAGAAATATTATTTATTTTACAGCGGTAATGAAAAAAATCACGTGCCAAATAATGGACATGCTCCAATTTTTGCAGTCGTAATGCGGACCCCCGGTTTGCCAAAGGTTCTAAAATGCCATGCATTTATTTGTAAAAGTACTGAAGATGCAATTGTTATTGCTGCCACATTGTACCAGAGCTTAATGGCCCACGTGAATTCTAGCTCACATCGAAACAGCAAACGACGTACACCACGTAATCAAAACGGCGTTAGTTGTATAAGTATTGCTAGTAGTTCGGCTCGAACGGGATCCAATTACTTATCACAATCCCATGCTCTTTCTAATGGTCGGAAAAGTTCTCTGCTTAGTTCTAGTGAAAGCTTGGGCGCAGAAATTGCAACACCTCCTCGATCTGGGCGGAAAAAGCGTGTTTCCAATAGCTTTCTTACTTCTAGCAATAATGTTATCAACGAGGCGGAAACTACAACTGAAGAACGAAGACGAAAATCTCATAAAAGTAAACGTGCCCCTCCTATTCCTAACGGTTTGCACTCTAATAACTCTGTGCGTAATATTAGTAATCAAGCTGCCATTGCTCTCAAAGATACATTTTGTGATGGTTGTGGAGGTAATAATATCCGCAACAAATTTTTCGACTTATAAAGACGATAGAGAGTGCTTACTATTCAGAAATTTTAGGTGGCGGCTTCTTATCGGTTGCGGACTCATTGGCGGGTAACTCTAACCCTGGCCTACGTAACGATAATAATGGGGATATACTAACACGCGTAGCAATACCTCGATCCGGTAGCTTCCTTAACACGGGAGGACTTACACGGTATAAATCAAGAGCTGCGCGTAAACATTCTGGTAAACTAGGCGGAGGTGGTGGGTAAGTGAGATTTAATTTTCTACTTAAGTGATTACACCGCTTTCTAGAATATCAACTTAAACCTTTCGCGTATATGATTTCGTCGTGGTCCACATAAGTAAATAAATTATTTCTATCTTTCGTAAAATTATGGCAATGACATTATAAAATTCGTTCAACTCATTCTCACTTACGCTATTTCAAATTTAACTCGAAAAATCCATATTAGGTTCTTAAACTCTTTCCTTCGAACATATACTCTGAAGGTAGCGTTGTCTTTCCAAGTGGTTTAATCGTGTCAAATAATTGACAGCTTTGAGTTCGACTGTCAGCAGTAACGTGGATGTCCAGAAGATAATTTTCCAGATATGTTTTATCCATAGCATGTGTTTAGAGAACCTAATTAGAGAATCCTATTCTATGAAAGTTGCTGATTTATAGTACACATAAAGATAAGTTGTTCTTCTTCTTGAAGGTTTTACAATGTGTCATACTTGATCAATATATAAAATACATAATGCTCTTGGTAATTGATGCAGAAGGTGGGATCACCGCTTATTGGATCCACCATTTCGGAATTCAAACAAATGCTTTATAAGTCCACAATTGGCTTTGCAGGTTAATATTTATTTACTTTCATTCCATTGTATAACCTCTAAACTGTCTAGCTAATTTTTTCCTTTAGACTATGACAATTCTTACGCATATGCTCATTGTATGGACATTTATTGTACATTCATTTATGGTCTATCGAAACGGCTTCGTTCATTACTGATTCGTGGAGGTGTTTTCAATCTTATTAAAGCATGTGCACAGCAACTAGAATCCAACACTTCAATTTACCACTGAATAAAATTAGCCAATGAAAAAGAATATTACATATGTATGTATATAACATACAGACTTGCATCTCTCAATTTAGGACCAACCCCGGTGTAGCATTTTTTTAATCTAATGTCTACCATTCTCCGCATTTGTGGTGTAGAATTCGTGATCAACTCCCTTAGTATTCGAATTGTTTGAATTTTATTTCTAGTTCACCACTTGGTTTCAGCGAACTGTTTAATGAGTTCCGCTTGCATGAAAACCTTCATTCATTGGACGAAATACTTTATGCCATAATTGACGCCGATGGAATGTCATTCAACGATCTTAGGCCAATATACAAGGAATTCCTTATGAAGTTGGCGGTAACCCTCACGAAGGATGAGCTCTTTCAGCGATCGAAGAATATTATGCGACGACAAAGGAAAAAAAAGTTGAAGCATCGAAGTAACGCTCCAGTAACACAGGTGATTACAAAGTACTTTAAGATATGAAAGAAACATTGAATATATCCGCACATTAGTTTACATTTGGTTACAGATACATATGTAAATATCATTTATGCTTATTCCTTTTAGAAAAAGTCCAAAACGTTTATGTTTGGAACTAAGAGCTTAAAAAAAGTTCTCCACTTAGGCCAATTTAGATCCTGTCGCGGCAAACCTATGTCAAAACTACCCCGCAATAAGAAAGAGGAAGTCCAAAAGCTTAGCAACAGTAGAACACATGCAGTTCAACCATCCGTATTAGGGCGCTCAAATGACAATCAGCGGACACGAGTGGCAACCAGTGGTTCGGACGTATCGGTCGTGCGCAAAGACAACACCCTTCGTGGACTAAATAGAAACAGCAGCAGCGGGTACGTAGCAGGTCCTAGAAGTTACTTATCAGTTTACAATGATTGCAATTGCAGCTACGTCTCTTGTTCCGAGTGCAGCTATGATTCAGAATCATGTACGTGCACATCAGCGGACCGATGTTACTGCAGTCTACAAACGGATCATGTCGTCAGCAGATTACGTCACAAAAGGGAACGAAACAATATTATGTCAAAGAATACGACTAGCAATAGCAGACGAAGTACAAATAACCTGTCCGGTGGTAATATTAATCGGGATTCCTTGATATCTTGCAAGTCAGATGAAAAATGCTACTGTTCCATGGTGGAAGAAGAGAGTGCTTTTCCTGGGTGTGATTTTGCAAACACACATTCGGATACCACGTGGTGTGATACAGATAGTTGTGTCAGTACTAGCAAATGTTATTGCCAACGCAGTCAGCGTGATCCCAGCGTTCGTGATGACACAAGTCCTCCTTTTCTGCACAAAGGTAAAACTAAAATTCAAACTGCCGCAGAGAAGTTAGCTTTGGACTACGAGCTTTTTACGATAAGTAGTCATGGAAAGTCGGTGCAACCACATGAAGCTTTAAGTGTTAAAAAAAGTGTAGAAGCAGCTGCTATTTTCGCCGATATGAAGCTTAGTCAAACAACTGATATTAAAAGCATTTGTCCACCATCTTCGATAAAATCTAAGACTAACTTATCCGTAAGAAGTGCCCTCAGCGAAGAAGCAAAGAGGTTTGCTCAGTCCGTAAAGAAGCGCGATTCCTCTAGTATTGATCGACGGCACAAACATCATAGTACCGGTGTTTTATCATCGAGTTCGTCCCAAAAATCTCATAGCGCTGAAGATTTATTGGGGAAATTGAGAGCAATGGAAAAGAACTCAAAATCAGAATCTGTGAAGAGTACCCGCAACCAAGGACAGACTTTGCTTACAGAGTTTGAAAAACGTGGCAGTTTGCAATGTAATTATCAGTCCATGCGAGCTGTGAATGTCTCTTTGGAAGACACTCTAGGGTATTTGCCATAAGTCGAAGTTACGAAGTAATGAAATAAACTTCTATTAATTTTCATATACATTTTTACTCATACATATGTATGAATATCTATTAAAAATTTAAAATAGTCTATTTGTTTGAATTTCGCTCGACTCGTCTAAGAGGGAACTATTGCGCGGCGTTCAAAGAATTCGCTCCTTAACATTGTCACATAAAAAGATGTGTTTAAAGTGTTATACCCTATATAATAAGTATAAGAGCATACTATATATTGTTATAGAACGCTAAATTCTAATAAATAATTAATAACTAAGCACATTTAAGACAATTATTAAAAAAGGTATTCAATTTATATGATTTATAATTATAAAAGTGTTATACAACTTTAAGTTAATTAATGTGAGATAAGAATATTATTTTAGATATTTTAGATTATAATTTTATATAGTGGTATGTGTACATATACATATGTATATACATACACTATGGAATACATGCCTAAGCATTCCTACATACCAGGTGTACTGGTATGAAGTGAGCGTTAACATACAAATGTGTTTGCAGGGAACATTTGTTGTGAACGAACTTTAATTTTTTACCTGTTTGGTTGGCTCTATCAGAAGCAACATGCAAAAGATGGTTTCAACGGTTCAGATATAATGATTTGGATGTAAGAAATGAAGAACGTGGAAGACTACCACTTTCCCATTTAAAATTAATCTTTTTTTTCACAAAAAATTTCATACCGGTACACGTGGTATATCGACAAAACATTTATTTTGCTTCGCTGTTTCTGTGCAATAAATTCGAAATAAATGTAGTTTTTGAATAAATGGGTTTTATAGCTTTGATTCATTTGCAAGATATAGTTTGTGCAATTCGGAGATATGAAAATATCAGAAATAACTTGTAAGCAACGAATACAAAAAATTAGTTTTTATTACCACCAATATTTAACGGTATTTTTGATCAACACTTAAGAGTTCTGAACATCCCAGCGGACCGGTGATCATCACAGTGATTCGGCTTATATGAAAAAGCTGTCATAAATACATAAAAAGTTAAAAAAAAAACATTTTAAATATTGTGAGAATATCAAACGGAATTTAGGCCCCACAAACGCATAAAGACGCACCCTGTTAAACAAATACAACATAGCAAGTATACAAGAAGAAGGAAAAACAAGACATAGTAAGTACTCATACATAGCGGTAAAACCACGAGACGTAAACAACGCAACAAGTATTGGTCTGCAACGGGGAAAACTACGCAACTTCTAGCAACACACGCCATCCTAAAGTAACATGTTGCGAATGCGCGTGCAAGCAACACACGGCTTAGCGAAAAGTTAGCAGGCCGATCATCAGCATCGTAAAGGGCAAAGTGCGGACATTCGTGACTTCACGAAGTTCGCCTGTTTATATGGTATATGCATAATCTTAATGAATACATGTGGGATTATTTCCTTGAATATAATACAGTTTGTCGCCAAACATGAGTGAAATCGATTTCATCTTCCCCTACCTCTCATAAACTTAATATAGTAAATTTCGTCCTTGCGATTGAGTTTTTATCATATACTTACTTATGTACTACATATGTATATGAATTTGTAAAACTAGATAAGTAAATACATACATTATATACTTGCATATGTACATACATATTCTAGATGAATGCGAAATCAATCTAGAAAGTAATCTTAGTCGTTTGTAGACGTCTCTCTTATGATGGGAGTGTTATCTTACATAGTTAGAAAATATGTTTAACCCTTCTGTTAGTAACCGTGTACCCACCGCGGTGTATTTGTGTGAGTAGCTCAACAAAATTCAATATTTCATTTTAAGCTCTCAAATAGTCTTTTTTAACTTAAAAGAAAGATATTTGTGAGTTAATTTTTTATATTTTTTATTTTTATTCTACGTTGTTATTTTTTTTTTCTTTAAATTGTCACTGACTATCAATATTTGAAGAAAAAATGTTTTCTAAAAAATTAACATAATAATAATAATACTCTGATCACCGGGGTACCCACCCAGTTGCTAAAAGACGTCGGTAAAGTTGGTTACTACCATAAGGATTAAGTGGGCTATTAGTATCAAATTTCAAGGCCTGAGCTTTAAGGCGTATGGAATGAATTGCATAAAATGCTGCTGAAGAAGAATTCCTTGAGTCATGCTACGAATAACTAAATTAATTAATGGTACATTATTATACAAACATAATAATATTTTAAGTATTTTAAAGACCGGCGTGAACATGACACAAAATACTGCTGGTATTTTTAATTGGCATTATAATCTATAAATTTTCCAATACTTATTGTATTAAAAAAATTATACGAAAAATAGAGGTATTTTTGTTGCACCAATACTGTACACTTTCTTCTGTAAAAGGGTATTCAACACGTTTTTCACTTAGTGAGGGTCAAGGCTCATAACAATTTGAAGATAATAGATGATCACGTATTAATAAATATTATTACACACGTATTTAATAGTTCTAATTGATAACGGAAACTATATGTGTACATATATTTTAATATTTCCGTGCGTTGTGATTCACATAAACTTTTATTGGCAATTAGCCCAGCAAAGAATTGAATTGTGAAGAACATTAACCAATATTTTGGCAGTAACGAAATGCAGAAGAGAGTTGAGATGATAATGTCTGAACTAAAGCGAATCAATATTAATTAATTAATTGTCCAACCAATAAAACAGCGCAGTAATAAGTATTCCTATTTTCGATATTCAGAAGGATCGATGGAGATATGTGACCATTGAGAAAGCTAGAAACTCAACTAATAAACTTACAGTTGGTTTTGTGAAGGGAAAAAATGTGACATAAAAATAACCAAATATACAATGATTTTATAATATGTACATATGAATGTATATACGAGTATTTATAACTAATTATCACTAAGAGGAAATGACGTAGGTTATTGTTTCTTATTGCTCTTTAACGTACGTATTGCTGGGTGTACACATATATACATTAACAGATTGTGTTCTATAGGACTTTCAATGATTTACCGAATTTAAATTCAGTTCAATTCCTAAGATTCAACTAACAAGATGCCTACCTCTGCTGATAGTGTTTTTGTTGCCCGTTCTGCGGGCATATCTGCGGAAGGTGTACGAGATCAATACGCCGACGGCAAAGCTGCTAAAGTTTGGGAAATATTTATTGGGGACAAGAATTCACGTACAGAAAATTATAAGAATTTCTTAATTGAATTACTTCGATCAAAAGGTTGCAAGCGTATCCTCGATGTGGCGTGTGGAACGGGGTAAGTTCACCTGCATAAGTACATATTTACGTAAATACAAAAAATTACTTATAAAACTGTTGCCCTTACCAATATCCAGTGTTGACTCGATTATGTTGCTGGAGGAAGGCTACGAGGTGGTTTCAGTGGATGCCTCCGACAAAATGTTGAAATATGCACTGAAAGAGCGCTGGAACCGACGTAAGGAGCCAGCTTTCGATAGTTGGGGTATGTCGCCTCAATCCACAAATAAGCTAGAAAAATAGAATTTTAACTATTTTATCTAATTTTCCTACAGTAATTGAGGAATCTAATTGGCTGACCTTGTACGACGATATTAAACCAATCGTTGGCGAGGGATTTGACGCTGTCATTTGCTTGGGAAATTCGTTTGCTCATCTTATGGACGATAGTGGAGAACAGCTCGACCATAAACAAGCTATTAAAAATTTTGAAAAGTGTCTTAAGCCGGGTGGAATACTATTAATTGACCACAGAAACTACGATAATATTTTAGAAACGGGAGACACACCAGCGAAAAGTATATATTACAATGTGAGTACTTCCGAAATAAATATTTAAATAATGCATATACATACACATGTATACTTACATAAGTATTTAGATGTACGTAGTCATAGTAAAAAGTAATTAATATGTACGCACATATGTGTTATGAGAATGATATATTCAAGCAAATAGATAGTGATAATTTTTCCTCAAAGTGAACGGCCGATCGTTCAATTTTTGAACAGTTCAAGCTGTAGTTCTATTGTATCATCGTTGTGTTTAAACTTAAAATTCCTTGTTTTATTCTGTAGACAGTTATCGAACATAATCGCTTCATATGAAGTGGGTGTAGTTATTATAAACTGCAGTATGAAATGACAAACTATGTTTCCACTGAGTTACGGGATTAGACAAACTCAAGTTTTCGAAAATTTTAAAGCCTTGGTGTAAATTGTAAGACTTTTTCATATTAGGACTTGAATGCACTGATAAACTCACATACGGATAACAATTTATTTCGTCATTTTGATATACGAGATGTAATAAAATTATTTTGGAGTAACAAATAATCATTATATGAAAGAAAATTTTAATTTGGGCTCTTGAGAAACAGCATTGTTGATAGACGCTGAAAGCCTAGCCGGGCGTAAATTCGCATAATGCGTAAAAGGGAAAATGCGCTCGGCTCGGCTTAGTCCTAAACATTCCTGTCTAAATATTTGTTCGTGAATAATATACAAAAGCTTATGTGTATGAGTTTTCTCAATGAAGTGGTGTCGAATACAAAATTCAGCTATTTAATTGTCATCCTCTTCAATAAATTAAACTATTGTAATTTTCGTAGTATTTCTATTTTGCGGAAAGATATGTGGATTCGCAGAATCTTACAAAATCAAATTACATCGCGAATTTGTATTATTTACACGATCGAGTACTTTCTAATCTATTTATTAATTTATACATATGTATATCACATCGCTAACTAATAATGTGAACTCTGGCTTAATTATAGCTGATAACACAAACAGTGTGCTCATTATAATATTTGCTAAGAAATATGTAAGGGGAATGTTGTTTTCAAATTTATTTCAAATATCTTGTATTTTTATTGTCGGAGTTGCCATCGAAGAAAATGTTATTAGAGATAACAGCAATGCAAACAAACAATTTTATAAATTTTTTAATCTCGAATTGACAATAAGAAATGACCTGAGATAAGTATTTAATTTTAGTGGCTTTGTTTTAATTTTGTTATTGCTTTAATTAGTCGTTATTAACTGGGAGATAAATTGTACCGTACGTTAATGTGGGGTTTAAGGGTTGTTATTCATTTAATTTCTGTATATATTCCTGTATTTCGATTAATCATTTATTTAATAATTGTTTAAAATTATTTCAGACTAGTCACACTGCAGACATTAAAACCTCGGTACTTTTGTATTGTGGAAAACCTGCAATGGTAACCATGGACTACCAGATTGAAGGAAATAATTTGAGCAGTGAATTTCGTCTTTCGTATTACCCACACGCCCTCCAGAGTTTTACTAAAATACTGAAAGATATTTTTGGCGAGAAATCAAAACATAAATTATATGGAGATTTCAAAGAAATACAAGTTGAGAAGAAACCCGCCTTTTATATACATCTTATTGAGAAACAGTGAACGAGTTAAAGTTTCGTAAACGCATTTAAATTATATAACTTTGCATCACCATGTGTATCTATTACTACCTTATTTAATAATTTTATCTTTTACTTTTATATCGTACATTAGAGTCTTACAAAAATAAAATATTTTTTTAGAAACAAAGGCGAAAATATTTCTATACAAAAAAATGAAAGGGCTAAGCACGAGTGTAACCAAACAATATTTTCAATGCTGGTAAAACTGAAGATTATACCACAAAATGTTGGAAATTAATTCTAAATTCGTTATTCGACAAAATTTTAAATTTATTACAATAATATCTGGATCTTATTAAGTCACGCTTTATACCAAGCCTTGCTTTATGTAAGAGATATCTATACCTATATCTGCTTAACTAACTCAGATCACTATATTCATCATATTAGTATTGGGAGAAGATACATTTATATGTACCGATTCATATGTGAACTCTACCGTCCCATCTTTAAATTTCTTCTCACATTTTGCTTTTGGTTTAGTAGTATAGTATACTCTGCATAACCACTGTGCGGGAGGTGGGCTTAGTTATTATCGATTTCACCCTTTTTTCAGTGTGATGAATGACTAGAGAAATGTTTCCACCAAGTTTGGTTGATATTATATTGACAATTTGTAAGATATGCGCATAAAACCAAATTAGAGGAGGCGCCATATTTTTTTTACAAATGTCCCACTCCCTACGAACGTTTAAGCTCGTACATTCAACATTTTGACTATTTTGAGGTTCAAGGCGCCGAAACCCAACCAAATACTCGTATGTATGAAAATGCTTGATTGCCGGGAGAAATACATATGTTGTTGTTATGTATGTTTGTTATTAAGTCAGTAGTTAAGCTTTGAAGTGAAATGCTCGCGCTATACGAAAGCAGTGTGTGCAGTTTGGAAAGAAGATTGTTTGAAATTGTTTACTTATGTTGCAAAGCTGAAAGGCAAGGTATATGTATTTAATCCCAGGAACTTTCCTTTAAAATTAAGATAAGGAACCATTATATTGATATATTCACTCAGGCAGAAGATATTATATTAATTAATGAGCTTGCGTGGCAATCAGTAGAATGCCCAGGTGTAAATATGTATCAAAAATTATTTACAAAAACAAATTATTGAATACATATACGAATACTATGCCGTGATGATCATCTTTTTGTTGGTGGTGGTATCTAGAAAACCCCAACTTTATTATTTTACGCTTTTTGTGCATTTTTGTTCTTTTACATTTTGAAACTACCTAAATTCATATTTTCCGAAATAATTCCGAATTCCGAAAAATTAAATTTTCAAATTTTAAAATTATTTTAAAAACAAAAAACTAAAAAATATAATCGGTTACGTGGTTTCGGCGTGAAAGCGTAACAAACACACTTACATTCACATTTGTAATACAGTATGGAAGTGTGGATGTGGATGTGGATATGTATATTTCGATCCCCCTATTCCGGGTTTATTACGAATTATGTAAACCTGTTCAAGTAAAAATTTGAAATATTCGATTTGAATTAAAAACGAAATGTTGAAAATAGTAAAAAAGTAAGTTTATAGTGAGACAAATACTTATAAGTCACCTATTGTGACTATAAAAAAGCATATAACAAATCTATGCGATCGTTTGTTTGGCGACTTCGTTACCGTGGAATTTAACAAAAATTTATTGCTCAGGCCTCAGAGTTTACGATAATTTATTACCTATGCTAATTTTAATGAAATGCTTCTATGTGTGATTCAATAATTAATTTTTGACCATATTTCTTCATTTTTAATTTTAATGGTCAAATATTAATTGATATTATATATTGTAACTATGTAGATTTGTTTTTATAACTTTTCAGCAGAAATTAACAGACATACAGTGGGAACGTCTCTTAATTGCCTCCAGTTGGAATCGCTTGGTATTTGAGCGATAATTTATTTTTTATTTATTTTTTTTTTACAAATAATTGATTACTTCTATATTTATTTAAATATATAACATATTTTTTTATTTATTTTAATATTTTTTTTTACATAGTAACATATTTGTTATTTATTTTTGCTTTTTAGGTGGAGAAAATAGATGCACCTTCTTGATGTGTCCGATTTCGAACTAACCGATTTGTATGCCTGAGGTAGGAACTTCTTGCACCGCTACCAAAATAGGTTTAGGTTATCTAAAGGGGCAGTTCTCGATAAAAATTTGTTACTGCCGACAGTGAAGGTAGTTTCGGACTGTGAGAGTTTAGATAAAGGCAGTTTTTGCGAACCTGACGAACTGGACACTGTAAATACTTTAGAGCTCAGAGAGTTTATTTTCGGCACTTTCGGTGACGAAGTATGAGATTGTAGTGAACTGTCCCTTTACTACATTACCTGTGTATATCATCTAAATAATTGTTAAGTATTATGTATGCCGTACTCTAAGACACAGAGTTCAATAAAAATATTAGTTAGAGACCTAGTCTACTTTTATCATTTCCCATTATCATTCCTATTTTCCAAGATTGATTAAGCGATTTTTAGTTAAATGTCTATAATGTAAAAGAAAAGTTTCACTTTTATCGTAGTTTCATAAAAGCACATAATCCTTTTTATTTGACATGATACCTTTACGATAATTATCATAGATCTTTGTCCAGGGCTTTAATCTCCGAATTTATTGTTCTGATCGGACCACTATAATATATAGCTCCCACCAAAAATGACCAATCAAAATCAAGATAAAAATCTTCATAAAAGATCTTATTTTCTTATTAAGGACTTCGACTTGAAGGTAGTTTCAAACAACGTTGATATAAGAAATGTACCTGTGAAGGTTAACATAGCTTTGATCTAAGCAGAGTTAACGTTTGTTAATGTTTTGACTCAAATATTTTATTATATGTAAAGTGAAACCATAAATTACATTATGATAAATATACTAACTCCATTATTAAAGAGTACATTTATACTTGTGCTTATTTAGATTACTTAAGCGAATTACACTTTTCTCTTATGAATTCTGATCAGTGGCGATTGCTTAAGTTTAATTGTTATGTTTTCGACAAAATCTACATTATTGTACTGAAAGTCGGTAGTGAATCGGAAATTTCTTACAAGTTTAGACACGGCAATTTTTAGTGACAGCAATGCATATTTAGACCCTAAAATGAAAAATTATAATCACATCCATCAATTAATAATGAAATCACTGAAGTTCTTACCAATACAATTCCGTATACCTTTCGTAAAGGGTATATACGAATAGGTATGTTTGCTATCTATATTTGACGGCAAGAAATTTTCAGGGTTAAAGAGGTGAGCTTCTGGTCCCCAAATGTCTTCCCTGCGTTGCATATTAAATATATCAACTAGAACTTGAATCCCCTTTGGCAGAACGACGCCGTTGCTTAGTTTAGTGTCTGCAATTAACTGTCTTCCCACTACTGGAACAGTAGCCATTACACGCATCGTTTCGTCAATCACCATGCTAACATAGGAAAGTTGTTGGATGTCCGAATAATTTATTTCAAATGACCCGCTTTCAGGCCACAATGAAGAGACTTCTTCCAAGACTCGCTCCTGACATTGCGGGTGCATTGCCAACATAATTAAAATGTGCTTTAAAGTGGTCGCTGTCGTTTCAAACGCCTGTAGATTAATAAACAATATTTCCTAAAATATTCAAAATACATACATAAAAAACCTGCGTGTCAACCATACCCCGAAAACTATGACGATAGATTCATCTTCAACATTTTTACACGAAAATCTTCCCTGTTGAAGTAATTCGATAGCTCGATTTATAAAAATATTGCCATCTAGCTTCGACTGGTCCGGTAAAGTTTCCGTGCGTTCCGTAATTAGCTAAATTAGAGCACATCGCTTAATATACATACATATGGATATATTTGTAAATTGAACGCATGTACTTATGTTGTGTATTACATACATATATAGATAAGTACTCGTTCGAGTCGATGGACTTACTTTGCCTATGAATTTGCGAATAACCGTTTTGGACCTTTTATATTGCTCATAATCTCCTAAAACCCACACCAACGCTTTCATGCTTAACCACGACAATGTACCCATTTCGGTAATAGTCTCTTGAATGCTTAAAAACGATACAAATAACAAAGCAATATAGGTACATACTCCTATATGTTGATACATTGTTCTTACTTACAATGGAAAAGATTGCAACAACGACTCATCAACAGCTGAGCCATGGTCTTTTAAATTTTGACCCATAGTAGTTTCTGAAAAAAATTTTAAATTTTATTTAGTAATTACACAGCCCTACTAAAAATTTTAGTTTTTTGTTTAGTTCAGGCTCCTGATTATTCAATATATAATTGATTATAAAATTAAACAAAATTAAATTTAACTAATTAAAGAGCAAAGCACGTTGAATTTACATTTATAAAAAAATTTCGAAGCTTAGTAAGGAAAGATTGAAAAGTGGGATACTTGATGGTCTTCAAATACGGTAAATAATGAACGATACAGATTATATCAAGAAATGCTAATAAAAGGAGTTTTACTGAAATATAACATATGTTTTCAACATTTTTCTCTCATTTTACTGCGATTAAACTAACATTATAAATATAGTAATTTTGTTTCATGTTTTCTAATTTTTGTATGTAAAATTCAAGCAAAAATTTAGCATAAACGAGAAATCTTAAAAGCTCATTGACACTATCATGAGTTGACTTCTGCAAATTGAGCTCTTTTAATGTTTTCCATTTTTGATTGATGTGGTATTTAAAAATAGGCCAAATAAAATCTAACAACTACTACTTGAACTTATCGTACCGTATATTTTAAAATATTCTAAAAATTAATTTATCTAATTTAAAGCTCTTTATGAACATCATAGAAAATATGGTTTATCTTAACGGGAATTTTTTGTTGCTTTGTTAAATAGCTGTAAGAATGTTACCAATTTTTTACGCTAAACATACATAGGCCGAATATATGCAATATTTACTGAAATTACTATCGTTTTTTTAAGAAAATATGAGAAATATATTATAGTATATTTCACCTTACTCTTTTCGGTCGATGCAATATTATGGCTTTGTTTGGGAAATACTTACATAAATATATAAATACTTACGGGTAGCGATTTTTAATGTAAATTTTTGCAGTATTGGTACCAAATCCACTCCATCAATATCTGTTAACGTTTTAAAAACTTCCATTAAGTCATCAACCTCTTTATTAAAGATTGGTATAAAATTAATCAATATTTTATGCCCAAAAGCCGGATTCAATAACTTCCTGTGGTAACTCCATTCAGGGTCTGACATTATGTGATTATAAAATAATTGGAATTCAAATCAGCCGAGTCAATATATTGCAAATAATTTGTAATATTACCGTCTATCGTGAACAACCCTGGTCCCGTTGCATCCTGGACTCCCTTGTACACAAAACTTTTGTTGACACAATTTGGCGAAGTTAATATGTCCTTAGCTATCTGAGGCTCGCTCACGACAGCTATGGGAAATGGACCGATCCAAGATAAGAATAGACCGCCATATTCTGCCTCTGCTTCTTTCATTGAATTTAATATTTCTGAAAGAAAATTTCATGGGAACTAATTACTACTATTCTGTACATACTCAATGACTGACTTTGAAAGATTTTGCTTGCAATGAATTAGTATGAATGTGGTAGAACAACGTCCGGTGTGTTTAACGTGAGTACCTGCCGTTGACGGCCTTACCTCACGGTGCTCCAAAGCACAACGTATCAAAACAATGTGTTGATAAGCGCCCCAAATAATACGAGCTTTTTGCAAGTATTAATATGGTTACCAGTGGCCAGTGTGTAGAGGCACACTGACCATCTTGGTAGGTGCAACTTCTTTTTTCGAACTGAAAATTCAGTTCTTCCAGCATTTAGGTTTAAACCACAGCCACCACGATACTCCCCAAAGGGTCGAACCCAATGAGCAGATTGAACCGAAGTCCAAGGGTATTCTGCTCCCCGTGGTACCAGAGTTGAGTCTCCGGTAAGACTGTGTAGCCGAAGCTACTGCCAGTTGAGCTCCGCCTTACTCAATGACTGGTGACATTTGTCGCTTGAACTTCAAATGTCTTTTTATTTGGAATCTCATTTAAAGTCTATAATATCAGTTCAAGCTGAGTATTATAGCACTATTTCTGACATCATTTACTATGCTGATAGTTCTGGGAAAAATAAAATAACAGTCATAGTACATTTGGCTTTTAGTCGCCTCTTACGACCGGCATGCCTTATCGCGGGTAAATAATTACCCCTAAAAAAAAAATTGCAAAGATGAAATGGCAATATCCCGTGTTTTATGTTTTGTACATATGTAAATATCATTGCTCATATTTAATTATTAAATTGGTAAATAAACGTTATGCAACAATTATTTAAGTCTTAAATTATAAAATCTTATTTTTCCAACAAATACTTTTATATAAAACAGTATAAATCTACCTTTTTCATGCTCCAGATAAATTTTTGTCACGCTCATAAAATTTTTAAACGGTTCAAGAGATCACCAAGAGATTACCCAACGCCATTTCGAGAATGATTATTTCATGATAGCAAATGACCACAGAAGAACATTTCCATACTCAATGGCAATTTGGTAAATGGTTAGCAATGTCCATTGCCTGTGGATATGCGGTGTGAGGAAGTTTAGGATGGCTCGTATCTATCATCGTACCCTAACCTCCTGCGCAAACTGCCGGTTTTGCGACATGGATTCGAGCATCTGATTCTAAACTGCACAGCATTCGGTGGATGCTGGTATAAGGCCCTTGGAGCCATATATCCAAATGGGAATCACATCGTCTCAATGGCACCCAGCAGGATACTGAAATTTATCAGCGTGCTGGGCCTATGTGATTCATTGTCACAGAGGGGTACAATAGACCTTAAGTCGCGGTGCAAACCTCAATTTATTTCTATGGACATATCTATCTAACATACCATGTCTCACACTTTATTAAAAAAGTTTTGTATTATTTTGTGTTCCTATTTTATTTTAAAAAATTTAAAAGATAAATTATAATAATTACGACTAGGGTCGCCAGTGGTCGAAATTTAACCAATAGAAAATACAATTTATTAACAATTTTAATAGTATTCAAATTTTATTGAAGAATTTGAACAAAATGTGAACAAAATCTACAGAAAGTTGTAGAAAACAATTTACCAAAAAAAATTAAAATTTATAAGTCATCCTCGTGAAAAATCAAAATCTGTTTCTGGTTTTGGCTTTATTCTTCCTTGACCGAACTCATTCATATTCAGCGCAAAAACAATTTAATTTAAATTAAAATATCACACATTTTGACAAAAAAAACATATTTCACGCCATTTTATGAAGATAACTCTCACACTGACCAACATATATGGCATAAAGTTTGCTAAAATTACGAAAATCATTATATGTGAGCTAAGGTAATTCGTTGACCGATTTCACATATACTTGTAGTAGGAATAACGTATAAATATGAATTCTGAGAATTTAGAAATAGTATTACTTCGGCCGTGGCACATTTCAATTTTCGAAAACTAATTCATTTGTGAAATGAAATTCAGATGAAATTTTGAGCTTTTCTTGATATTTTTGGCACCATATATCAAAATTACAGATAAGTATCGGATACACTTTATTCACAAAAAGCCAAGAAAGTGTATCGCTGCTTTCATCTCAGCCGAGTTAATTTTCTGATATTTGTATTTCACCATTTTGTGTTGATTTTGACATCTACTAAGATAAGTATATTAATTATTATAGATAGATAAGGAATTCAATTTTCTTTTAATAAATTTAGATATAATTGAATGACATTTACCATCTCTTCGTTTAATTTGTAAAGCGTTTCCCAATAGGGGATATCCAATCCGGCCAGGCAATTCAAATATCAGTTTATAATATTTCCTACGAGACCATAGGATCAATAAAATCGAAATTATAAAAGAACTGAAGATAATATTCAGTAGGAACATTTTAAGAGCTTCACTATAGCAAAACTACGCAGATATATTATGTGTGAGCTTTTGACTAGCTTAATGAAGACTAAACGAAATTACTTAGTTACTAAAATCTTCGTCTTAAGTGCAAAATATCAAGATACAGTATATGTGTACGAGTATATGCATATGTACATATGTCAATTTCAAGCTGAATGCACATGACAATGATTGTTGGAAAGTTGGTAGGCATAAATATACGAGTAGTTCATATGAACTTATTACCCTATATGGCATATGAACTTCAAACCTACATATTTTATACAATTGAATTACAGACCAGAAGCAATGGCGGGTAAATGTTAAACAAGAAAAAACGTTAAATTCGGTTGCACCGAAGCTATAATACCCTCCACAAATACAAAGATTCCTTATAAAAGCTGTGATCGGTCAGTTTTTATAGCAACTATATGCTATAGTGACTCGATCTGAAGAAGATCAAAGATTGCATCGTTGCCTTGGACAATAACCCAAACCTTATTTGGTGAAGATATCTCGTCAAAGAAAAAGTTTTCCACACAAACACTTGATTCCGATCGTTTAGTTTGTATGCCAGCTATATGCTATAGCAATCCGATTAAAACAATTTCTTCGGAGATTACACCATTACCTTAAAAATAACCCTTACAAAATTTCGTGAAAATATCTCCTCAAATGAAAAAGTTTTTCATACAAGCACTTGTTTCCGATCGTTCAGTTTGTATGGCAGCTATATGCTTTATTGATCCGATATTGCTGTTAAGGCAAATGAGTAGCTTCTTGGTGAGAAAAGTACAGGTTGCAAAATTTCGGATCGATATCTTAAAAACTGAGGGACTGGTTCGCATATGTACTTACAGACGGACGCTGATCAGTTGTATACGAGTATATATATACTTTATAGCGTCTCCGGCATTTCCTTTTAGTTGTTACAAACACCCTTTTCAGGGTATAAAAATACATATTAAGAAACGTTGAGAGTCATTTAATTTAATTTTTTTCAAATTACACGTTTTGGCCTCACAAATGAGAATTTCGAGAAAAAATAGACGTAAACATTTGAAAACGAGTGCATAGAGCGATAATATTGTAGTTGTCATTTTCTTAAAAAAAAATTTTTTAAACTTCGTACCAATGTACTTGAAATACATTATAAAAAAGCCATTTAAATGGTGTTTTTTTAGGGATGTGGTTTTCAAAAAGAAATAAAAAGCATAATATTGATGCCCAAAAATTTAGCTTTATTATAAAGATAAGAGTATGTCATTATGTTTTAAAAATTATTTCTGCAAAGGACCGCCGCGACTAGTTCAAATAAATTCCAACTGAAATGCCCAATTTTCGACCACTTATTGCAGCAATTGGAGCTGTATGTCAGCAATAACGCGCCAAATTAATATTCTCTTCCAAGGCGTCAACCGTCTAGGGTTTATCTGCATAAACAAAACGACTTCACATAACCCCACAAAAAAATAGTCGCACGTTCTTGAAGACCACGACACAGGCCCACGACGCGAAATAATGCGCTCACCAAAAGGTTCATTCAATAAATTGATTATTTCGTTGGCTGCATGGCAACGGTCGTCCACATCAACATCTTTCAATTCAGGCACGAAAAAGGCACTAATTATGGCTCTATAGCGTTCCCTATTGACTATAACATTATTATTGACTGTAATATGAAATATGGACTAATGATTCCCTCTGCCCATAGAGCACACCAAGCAGTGACTTTTTGAGGATGTAACGGCGTCGAAACAGTGGTTTGTGGATTATCACCATCACCTCAAATGTAACAATTTTGTTTATTAACATACTCATTCAACCAAAAGCGAGCGGATGGACTCATTCGGATCTTCTTCGATACTCTGCTCCACAGTAACAATAGGGCCTTCGGTGCGAACTGTACGGCGTCTCTGAAGATGCGGTTGATCAAACTCTATTTCAAAATTTGTTTTTGTATTATTACTTTGAAGAAAAAGCTGGTATGTTGTATGTCTCAAAAATACCCTTGGTAGTACTCATGTTGCTTGCATTGCAGGTTCTTTAAAATTTAATTCAAAAATCTCGAATTTAATAATAACCCTGCACTAACTCTTTATTCAAAATTATGTTGCCAATAATGAATTATTAAGTATGCACTTGACATAAAAGTTTGTGAGACAAAAAGTTAAACTAACTTACAAAAGAAGCCATGGTGATACGAGTACATATGATTAAAAAAGGAGAGTCAAAGTTTACATTAAAGATATTTATTCAATATCACAAACAAATGGGAAAAAGGTCAGTTTAACAGAATTACAATGCTCAAATGACCACTTACAAGTATGTAGAATTTCTTCGAAAATGCGCCCGAACCTTATGTTTCATAACCACTTTTTACTTTACTCATCTTAATACTACAGGAGATTTCAAAAGCAACTTTTCATGTAAAACCGAAACGGTTCCCGGCCCTTACTCTGTTCTTTGTTAAAAAATTGTGGACCCTGAATTTAGATGTAATAGCTCTTGCGGATGCAGTTCGTCCAGCCGGTTCATCCTACAATCTAAAGTGGAGAGAAACCCGACTAAGCCCTAGGGCGAAAGATCCACTTTGTCCACGGCCTAGCATGAGTACATTACAACACGCGTACAATGACATCTTGTAAGCTCATATGTATTAAAATATTTCGCAAATTTCTCTGAGGTTCAATGAACGAGCTTACAAAATGTCATTGTACGCGTGTGTCAGCACTGGTGTAACGCACCCAAGCACATGCACTCTGCACATTTACTAATCAATCAGAACCATGTAGATTCAAATAAGTATAAAAGCTTTTGCTATTAAATAATTTAAGCAGATAATATTTTTACTGTTAGTCGAGCCGTTAAGGAATATTTTTTAAAAATGCAGGGAAAGGAAAATATAGTCAGCTTCCAAAGATTTCAAATTTTATTTTATCTGTGTGTTATATTGTTCTCAATATTGATTTATGTGAAATATTTTAAGAGAAACCGTTATCATATCATAACATCGCAACTACCAACAGCAAGAGGACTCCCGTTTTTGGGCATCGCATATCAATTAATACCAATGAAAAGTAAGGAATATTTTGATGGTTCAAATGAATAGTGCAAAAATCGAAACTGATAATCTTATTCAAAATAGAGTTTATATACATTCTGGATTCATACTTCATAAAGTTTAAGAGTTGGAAGTATTGCGCCTGGATTGGGCCTCAACCGTTTCTTATTACCGTGGATTTAGATATGATTAAAGAAATACTCACTTCGAATAGCTTTCTAGATAAATCTACAACGATGTATTCAGCCATCGATAATGCAATTCCAAAGGGACTCATCACTAGTCCAGGTTTTAATTAATATATACATATACTTACATAACTATGTATGATATGCATATAAGTCGTAAGATATCTAACTGCATCCTCCATCCTGTTCCGTAGGTGAGAAATGGAACTACAATCGAAAGCTCATGAACTCAACATTCACACACAAAACCATCATTAAATTTATACCAATCTTCAAGGATGGCGCTCAGGCCTTAGTGGAGAAACTAAATGATTACGTGGGAAATGGAGAAATTGAAGTATTTGAAATAATAAAACGAACATTTTTAGATATGGCTATGGGTAAGCTTAACTTGATATTGCAATATTACACTAACAAAAACTTAACTAAATAGATTTAAGAAAGGTTTATGGCTGACATATTTTAGAGAAACTTTGCCACCATAAATTGATAAAATAAGCACAATATAACAATATTGCTATTTATGGTTTAGTTTGTTTACAAGTCCTAAATTTTTATTATCATGCAACATGTTGCCACAGTCTATAACAGTTTTGTTCACCTCAAACTAATCGAGTTAGATATAGGGTTGTATATATGTACATAAATGATCAGGATAAAGAGGCAAGGTGAAATCCGGGTGACTGTCTGTCCGTCCGTCCGCCTGTGCAAGCTGTAACTTGAGTAAAAATTTAGATATCTCGATGAAACTTGGTACACATATTTCTTGGGAAAAAAGTGAGGATGAGTTCGCAGATGGGTGGCTTGAAAATTTTTAAAAGTGGGCATGGCCCCTAATAGATTTAATGTATGTACTCAAACTATTCAAGCCATATCACCCAAATTTGCACAGAACATATCATTTCGCCACCTCTTGCGACAGCATGAAAATACATAGATGCGTCAGAGATATTAAATTTTACATTCGAGATGACTCAAAATGACTTTATAGGAGCAGGTGTATACCATACTTGAGCAATGTAAAAAATTAATGCAATCAGCCCTTCAATTTCAATGCCCCAATGACTTTAGTATAATTTTCGGGTCTATGACCTTCAAAATAAGTTAATAAGATACCAAATTTAATTGTAATCCATTCACCATTTCGTCAAACAATGAAGTTGAACCTTTTCGCTACATTTCTTAATATAAAATTTTGCACACTGGCTTTGATCCTTGCAAGTTGCAAGAGTATAAAATGTTCGGTTACACCCGAACTTAATCCTTCCTTGTTATACATATCTTTGCATATATGGTACATTTGTACGTATATTTTTCAGAAACTACTACAGGAGTTGGCCTTTACAAAGGAAACGATAATCACAACGAAATGATTCGCGGATTTAATTAGTAAGTAAATCACACTGCTACTTTTAGAAAAAATCGATATTTCCGATTTTACGCATCGGAAACAAATTACTTCATTACTTAATTAAAATGGCAGTGTATTTGATTTTATATTCAACTTTTACTGAATCTCATTGCGTCGCAAACTAGAGTTTACGCCCAATTTTGGTTTGTTGGCGAATCCACTTCTTGAGTTAGTTAACATGTAAGAGAACTGCAGCGACTTGGTAGCCAATAATTAATCAAGCCAATTTTGATACTCTTCTCTAATGTTAACCGTATTCCAGTGAGGGCGTTCTTCATCGACCGAAACAAATGGTAGTTCAAAGGAGCAAAGTCCCCATTGATGGTTTTACCCAGTTTCAGAAGGTCAAAATACAGCACGACCTTCTGATCCCACCAAAAATAGAGCACTATCTTGGCGTCATGACTATTCGGCTTTGTCGTTGCTTCTGCTGTTTGGCCAGTTTTCATATAAATGATTTTGCGTTTAGGGTTGTCGTAACGAATCTATTTTTTATCACCAGTCACAATTTACTACAAAAACAACTTCTATTTGTAGTGTTCACGCTGCATTGTTAATATGCAAGCTCGTCTTTCAATGCCTCTGGGCTTCAATTCATATGGCACTCGGTTTCCTTGCTGCTGTTTTCTTCACAATAAAATAATGAAGAAGAACTCCGCTCAAAAATATTTTTTTCGGGCACAAAATTCGGCACATTTAAGTGACAAAAAAATTATTGTTGTTTACGCTTTAAATTAATGACATATACTGAAAAATATGCACAAGAATACTAGCTTTCTGACGTATGTTCGGAATATTGGAACAATGGAATAATAATCAAGTTACGCCATCTCTCAAGAATATAGTTAACGACCCGAAAATTCTACAACTTGTAGTCAAACACGTATACGTACTATAACCTATGGGTATGTAGCAAATTATATATTTTTTCAAGCATGTTGGAACAAGCCGCTAATGGAGCCATACTTAACACATTAAAGGTCGGATTCTTAACTTACACACCCAGATATTATAGAACGAAGCAACTTATAAAGGACTATATAGAAACGGTAATATTTTACCACCAAAAAATAAGCCATAATATCCGTCAAATTTATTTCAGTTAATTGAAGATAGGCGAAAAGCAAATGACGTGACTATTGACAGCAAAAGTGTGAACGCACCATTGGAGGAGATAAATATAAGAAAGGATGCTGATATTTTTATAAATCGTGCTCTCAACTTTCAACATCAAGGCTTATTTCAACATGCCGATGTATTAAACGAAACCCAAACTGTTATTGCTGGGGTAATTTTTTTAGACATACTCTTTTAAGTACGTAAATATATGCTTAGATATTAAATTTTAGTCATTCGATACGGTTTCAACACAAATTTACTCAATTCTTATAATGCTCGCCATGCACCCGGATATTCAACAGAGACTCTACGAGGAAACGGAAGAAATAATTTCTGTAGAAAATATGTCTATTGAGTACGAACATCTCAAACAATTTTCTTACATGGACTTGGTAATTAAAGAAACCCTTCGACTTATGCCATCAATACCCATTATTGGTCGGGAAGCTGTGAAGGATATTATAGTAAATGGTATCGATGTGCCCAAAGGTATGCAAGTAATGATACCAATTTTCATACTGCATAGACGCACAGATTTATGGGGTCCTTTAGCGCATTCATTTAACCCAGATAATTTTCTACCAGAAAACAATGGCAAACGTCACCCTTGCGCATACATTCCATTCTCTAAAGGTTCACGAAACTGTATTGGTATATTTTGGTTCCGCTTTTTTTTAAAGAAAAGTATTTTTTTTTTAACTTTTATTCTATTTTACAGGTTGGCATTATGCTGAAGTGGTTTTGCGCGTGATCCTTTTAGGCTTGATTCATAATTTCAAGTTCACTACTTCGTTCCGGTATGAAGATCTTATTTTTTCTGATCATATAAGTTTGAGGTATGTCGAAGAACCGAAACTGCAGATATGTCGAAGAAATGAATTCTTACAAAGAATTAATTGAAAATGGGATTTTGAATATTATATTTGTGTCTATAGGAGCCTTCATATGTTATATTTACGAAAATTCCGCCTTAGAGGAAACAAATAAGCAGATTAAGTTCTTTTTAATTAGGAATTACAAATAAAAAATCTAAGTATTTTAATGATTTTTTAATGTTCATGTATTTTGGTGCATAGGTTGTACCCTTCAGGTTAGTTGTGATATACGTAATTTTTGATTTATTATCAGGGTCAAAAACAACCAACGCAGATGGTCTTTCGACCCGTGAACATGCTACATATATTTAACCATGCGAAAAACTTGGGTACTCCAGATTCAAAGCAGAAACTTTTATGGATTGACTTTATGATTTGTTAATGGTCATGGCGAAAACTCAAATGGCATCTCGGTTGGGGTGATCGGGATCCTCGGATATAAAACTTTGTCACCTTCGAATTTTCCTATGATTATGGTTGCGTAAATCACATTTTTCATCAATTTACTTATCACCAAACGCGTACCATTGCACAGTTTTGGTTGGTTTATTTTTCAAAGCATGATTACTAGAGAGACAACCTTTACTTACTTACTTTTCACTGGTTTAAATTAAGAGACGTTGGCTTTGTACACTTCATTTTTATGATATAATCTTTGGACTTATTTATAAAACAAAACATAAACAATGACGGAAAAGTTAATAAAGTTACACATAAAATTTTCCATGTTACTATATAAACTGCTCTAAGAATTGACGAGAAAAGGAAATAAAAGGAACATTTTTTATACATTTACTAATATAGGTATTATGAGATCAAGAAATTTATGCTTAAAATACGTTTCGGTAGAGTACTTTATTTTGCTGTTCTCCTATCTGATATTAGCAATCCAACCTGGCCAAACATTCTTTTCGACTCTGTAAAATTAAAATTGATTAATGTGATATTCGTTTATATGTATTGTAGACAGACTAATGCCTCTGTATGTGCAGTCGGCGTTTCATTCCTTCTAACGCATCCAACACTTAATTAAAGTGTAAAATAATAGATAAATATAATAATTTGTATAAATTTAATAAATAAATTTAAAATTGTCTGTATTCACGAAGTTTAAACCACATGCGCGCAACCAAGCCAAGAATGAAAAGATGACCCAACAGCGGTATCAGAGATTTCTGTTAAAGTTGCTTAAGGGGTTACATAGGTTTCGCGGCTTCAAAAATTTTTTTTTTATTATCTTTTTTAATTCTATAACATCTCTAGAATATTGTCCCGAATTCTCAGTTGATATCAGTAATAGTTTTGGAGATACAGCTTTCAAAAGATGCGTGCTCGAGGTCAGCTATATGGCCACTTAAAACTTTAAACGCGTTTTTCTCGAAACTGTGTTTTCAAAGTCGGTTGTCAAGATTTAGCGCGAACTACTCAACCGATCTTGATGAAATTTTATACAGGTGTTTGATTTACTCGTAAGTGGGCGAAGGATGTTTTTTTTTCAATTACAACTATTTAAAAAAAAAGAAATGTCGAGCATGTTTGACCGAAATTTTAATTTTTTTGGAAAAAGGTTTGCCAAAATTCCAATTTTAACTTTTTATTTTTTTCCTTCGTTCAAGTACGAGTTTATGGTCTTAAATAAAACACATATTTTTTTTTTTTGATTTAAAATGTTCCTGTCAGGAGTTATGCTGACAACGCGGACGCACCTTTTCTTCGAGGGGAAATGACGTTACAATGGCAGAGTTTTAATTTTGTTTTTTTGAAAATCTCAGAACTTATTCTTTAAATGTGTATCTTTAAGACAGAAAAAAGTTTGAAGTAAATAAATAATTTTTTATATAGGAAAAAAATTATTGAAAATAGGGATTTTTTACCCGACGAAACCCATGTAACCCCTTAAGACCCAATTGACAGTTCTAACCGAATACACCGAATTCTTACATACATGTGATCGATCATCCCTTTCTTACGCATCTCCATAAAGTTAGTTTTGATCATAGGTATATGGTATCCTATTCACAGATAAAACATGGTCATCATTTACGATTGTGCAGCATATATTAAGTAAGACAGGCATGATGGAAATCATAAAAGAATATATTAGCTAAATGTTAAACTTGTATAGATTTAGGTGGATATATGTACATATGTATATTCAAATGTCATATGATATTTAAACAATACCGCAGCCACCATGGCTTTTCTAGAAAGTGAATCCATTATTTACATTTTCAACTGCCCAGTTTATGTATTCGTCAATCGGAAACTGTACAAATTTACGTTTTTTCTCTTTGCTCCTGGCGATTTTGGCCCGTTCTCAAACAATAATGTGTCAAGCAATCTCAACACGGTCTGTGACAATATTTAGTACGAATTCTTATCTTTCTCAACAGTGGAATCACAGCAAGCTACCATCCTCGTCGATTTCGAAAGCCAACGACCCAACAACGAAACCACTAGACTATGCACTTCAGGCACAACCCGAAGCGCTACAGTACAGTCATCAGGAACACACCCATTGTCTCACAATAACTGCATGTTTGACACGCTATCCAACAGCCGAACCACTTATTGACGGCTGAGTCGACCGAGTTGGGCAGGCACTCGTGCAAACTTGAATATCCTACTTTGGAGTTCCACTTCGGATAACAACCAACCTTGGAAAACAATTTAAGCCAGACTTTTTCAGAAAACTCGTTGATCGAACAAAAAGTTACCACCCACAATTAAACGGATTCATCGAACGCTTTCACCGACAGCTTAGTGCAATTCCCCTAGGATTACGTGCTGTATTTGAAGAAAAAGTCTTAGCCACACCAGCAAAAAATGTTTTTGGTGAGCCAGTCCAACACCCGAGTAAGTCTTCAAATAAAACCATTGAAGCACCTGAACTCTTTAAAACGCTAAGAAAACATTTGAAAATCTAACGCCTATGTCGGCTTCTCAACATTACCGAGAGAAAATCTGTAGAATAGCATTACCCGAATTCAGGATTCCGATATTTTGAATCGAACACATGATCTTAAGAAAAGAGAAGTTTGAGCGGTGACATTAAGTTAAGAAAAATATAATACGCATACAATTAAAATATAAATAGGAAATGCAGTAATTTTAATCATGTATTTCATTAACAATATACATATTTATATACTGCCTACAAAATTATAAAGAAAAGAAAAATTTTCTTAATGTATAGCCAACACAAAGGCTAGGCAACATGCACAAATTTTTACTATAGTTGATTTTCCCATAGTTAAAAATTTGACCATTCAATGCATTAGTTCATTACCTCTCTACTAAGACGCTGATATGTATGTATGTACATATATTTGAATGCATTTACTATTTTTCAGTATTGAGAATAAGTTGTTATTATTAAATTTATTTTTAATGTGAAATTATTACTAAATAACTTTACATACCCAACTTCCGTTATTGATAAATTATCTTATTCTAAATTTAGTACTTTACTGTATAAGTATTATTTTTATTTCTTTCGTATATCCGAAGGAGTGGTGTTTCTTTTAGCTTAATTGTGATGTCTTCTACAAAGTGTAAGTTCCGGTATTCGAATGTTGTAGAAAAACGATAATTCAATATTAGTCTCGCAATAGTTACTTTCATTGATAGAAGAGCATATCTCCAACCTGAAAAATAGTTAGCAACATTATAAGGACAGCAATTACATAAATAGCATTCAAAAATTTTTAATTTGTATTTATTTTACTCAGATTCATATCATTCGAAACACAGTTTGAAAATCGATTTTATTCTAAAACAATTGAGACTCACCAATGCAATTCCGAATTCCCTTCGTAAATGGTATGAAGGCATATGGATGTTTACCGTCTAAATTTGATGGTAAAAAATTATCCGGATTAAAAATATGTGCTTCATGACCCCAAATATCCGTACGACGATGCATATTGAAAATATCAATGGCTACTTGCAGCCCTTTGGGAATTACAATATCATTACTTAGACGAACTTCTTGTTCGGTTTGCCTTGCCACCAATGGCACTGGCGCCATCACCCGCATTGTTTCGTTAATCACCATATCCAAGTAAAACATCTGTTGTGTGTCGCTGTAGGTGACTTCATTATCATCTTTACTGGAAAATATGGAGCAGACTTCATCGAAAACTTTATCCTGATACTGTGGAAACATTGCTAGCAACATCATTATGTACATGAGAGTGTTTGAAGTAGTTTCGAAAGCCTATGAAATGTTCATAATTAATTTGTCCTGTTGAAATAATGAACAAATTAAAATATTCACCCCAAACACAATCACATTACATTCGTCTTCAACGTTCTGCCAATTGAAATGCCCTTTTTGAACCAAATTAAGAGCGCGATGTATAAAAATATTTTCGTCTAATGATCTTTTGCTCTCCGTGTATTCTGGCTCGTATATGGTCTTTTGTTTTATTAACTGTGCATAAAATGGAAATTACTCAAGGTAGGTATATGTGAGTGAATATATATAATACAAAGGTCGGTGTTCATTCATCTTCTCGTAAATATTACCACTAATTTAAATAATCATTAATAAGTTTTCAAAGCCACAGTTACCGAATATGTGAACCTTAATGCCTATAGCTGATTTTTTTACCGTAAATACCAGTCTGAGATATATAATTGAAATTCAGAGAGAATCTTTTCCTGCTAATAGTGAGCCCGAAGTCGGAAATATGTAAAATCGGGTCAATCGTTTCTTAACCCCCACATATTATACTTAATATAAAGATTTTCGAACTTCCGGTTGGCTTTATACCGTACATATCGGTCAATATGTAAGATATCTTAGGAAAATTAAGTCAACGTATAATACTGGATATTCTATAGTTTATAGCTGAAAATGTGTGAAATGGGTCTACGAATTACCTCTGCTCCCATATGCCATATATTATAATGAATATTTTGGTCAATGTGTGAGTTATCTTCATAAAATTGTTCTCGAGTGTACCTGAGTAATGACATTTTGACTTTCCATCTGACTTCAAACAGGGATGTTGTAAATTGGTATTTCCTCAACTTTGATCCTTGCCTAATTGTGATAGTATAAAATGTTCTACTACTCCAGAACTTTGCTCTTCCTTACTTGTTTAATATAAAGTTTTGCAACACTTGAAAGAATTTCCCCCTCTTCGATTTTTGCAAATTGCGAGAGTAAAAAATAGTTACATCCGAACATAGCCCTTCTTTACTTGGTTTATATTCTGTAACATCGTTGGAAGAGTACAAACCATAGTTTGCCCAGATTGGTTGTATATTATTTCGAATCTTTATCGTCCGATTTTACTGATTTTTTAATTTCTCAGGAGTTAATATACTCCCGCTAAATAACTTATGATTACACTAGAGAATGTTAATGAATATTGCATTATAAATATTCCCTTATGTGAAAACTATAATTTGTTACTCAAAACTATTTGATTTAAACTTGCCCCTGCTCTATCCTTTAATATTACCTAATTACACTTCATCAATGTTATAAAAACCTACAAATAACTACTGATATATGACAGAAATATTATTTAATTAATTTTGACATATATAAGACCTATTTCATAATTTAAATTGAAAAATAATTAAAACGCTTACATTGCGAATGTAATTTCGAATTTCTGCTTTTGCTTCCTTATAGGAGTCTTTATTCTTCCAGAAATAGTGGAATGCCTTGAAATTCAGCCAAGGTGAAAAACACATCTGGGTGATGGAATCCTGTACACTAGAATATTTGGCAATTATTAAATATTTGTTAACTGGTTAATTACATTTAATTAACTTTACCATTTATAACAGCTTAATAATCCTTCGGAAAAATTATTTATACCGTCGGAGGGAATTTTGTCGCCCATGGTCGTTTCTAGAGTTCATCATAATGTTAACATAAATAATTTCAATTAAAACGCGTTTTAACTTACGTGCTGCAATTTTCAATGTAAAGTTCTGGAAAACTTTTGTCAAATCGACTTCTTCCGTTAAAAGCGTTTCAAATGTTTTTAAAAGTTTATTTACTTCTTGATTAAATATGGTCATTAAATTCAGAAGTACCTTGTTCCCAAATGCAGGATTTAAAAGACGTCTGTGTAAATTCCACTTTGGATCTACAAAATATTGATCAAAAAGTGTTATAAATATCCATTAACAATCTAAATTGTTGTAGTATTTACTTGGTAAGCTAAACAGCCCTCTTCCAGCGCCATCATCTAAAGCGCTATAGATGAAGCTTTTGTTAATGCAGTGAGGAGAAGTTAAAATATCCTGTGCTACTTGAGGATCACAAACAACCAAAAAGGGATATGGTCCGAGCCAGGAAAGGAAAGTTTGTCCAAACTTTTGTTCTTCTTCTTTAAATACTGCTAAAATATCTGGAATATATTTGTATCATAAAAACATATGGTTACAAAATGTGCATAAAATACTAATATATTTTTTTAAATTAATCATACCATCGTAATACGCATTATAATGGAACTAATCGACCTCGAGTACTTATTTTTAAGAAATTTCAGCAAATTTTTCGATCTCGAAACTGTTCTTACTCATAATAAAGCAAAAGAGTACTCGTTCAGCCTACCAATTACTATTCGAGATCTCCGTCTCTATGACAGACTTTATACCGCATATAACTGTTAATATACACGCTCGAAGATGTCTAAAATTAATCCAAAACTTCCACTGTGCTTATAATATATAATTTCATTTTATCGGTGAACTTTGTGCCGACATATTGAGGAAGATATCCCAATATGCACATATGTATGAATGTAGGTAGACAAGAACGTTACATAATAAGGTGTGGAGCCATTATCGTTGGCTTTTTACCGGCAATCTTCTAACCAACATCAATAAAAAAGGCTCTAATTTCGGTTGCACCGCAGCCATATTAAGGACCTGATTTTCATCGTTCAGTTTGTATGGCATATATATGCTACAGTGATCCAAACAATTTCTTCGAAGATTGTACCGTTGCCTAAGACAATAACCCATGCCAAATTTCTTGAAGATAGCACCTGATTCCGATCGTTCAGTTCATATGGTAGTTATATGCTATACTAGTTCGATATCGCCGGTTCCGACAAATTGGCAACTTCTTGGGGAGAAAAGGGCGTGTGCAAAATTTCAGATCGATATCTTAAAAGCTGAGGTTCAAGTTCACGTATACATACATACATTTTATA